TGTTTAATTGAATATGATAGAATATTTCTTAGTAAATTAACCGAAAAATGTAGGTAATATGGAAAATTTGAGAAAAGAGGAGAGGTTGCAGGACAAAAGCAATTTATAGGTGTTCATGAGTCCCATTTGCTGAGCATGAAGAAAAATGGGATGACAGAAATAAGAATTTGGTTGATTTTTTGGGGGGCGGGGGGACTGCTAAGGCAGTCTACTGTTTTATATTTGCACATTATTCCCTGACCATAATAAAGGAAAACAAACATTCTTTGACAGGCACTCTAATTGGAGAAATGTTGCAAGACATATTGTTGATCATGAAACTTCCAAAGCTCACATTAATGCTATGTGTAAGTTCATTCAAAGGTGTAAGAATTGATTGTGTTATCGGCTCGGTTTGAAAAGGAGTGTTCTTATTGGAGGAAAGTGCTGAGATGTGTTGTTGCCACAGTCAAACTGTCTTCTTTGGGACTACCTCTAAGAGGACATAATGAGTTGTCATTGTGAAATTGAAAAGGTAATTTTTTAACCTGCCTTGAATATCTTAGTGATTTTGATGATTTTCTCAAAAAAAAATTGAAAAATTATCAGTATTGTGGCTCAGGGAAGAACATCTTTTTAACGCACCAAACCTACGATGAATTCATCACTATAATGACAGAGCGGCTCAGAAACCAATTCACTGATGAAATAAAGGATGCCGAGTACTATTCCATAATAGTCGATTCAACACGAGATGTGAGTCATGTAGACCAATTAACGTTATTTTTAAGATATGTGACTGGCAATGGTGAAGTTGTAGAGCAATTTCTTTGTTTTGTCCTGCTAAAATCCTGCACTTCTGAATGTCTAGAGACAACTGTTTTGGAAATAATTGCAAATTTAGGTTTGGACATCAAAAATTGCCACGGCAGAGTTTTGATAACGCCGCAAATATGGCAGGAAAATATTCAGGTCTACAGGCAAGACTGAACAATACAAGTCCCTCTCCTTTATTCACACCATGTTCCAGCCATTCCTTAAATTTAATCTGCAATGCTGCAGCTGAACCTTGTGAGGGAGCTACTCATTTTTTTAACTTCGTTCAAAATGTGTATGCCTCTTTTTCGGTTTCCACGCATCGGTGGAGTATGCTACAATCATGCTTGGAGCAGGCAAATGAAAACCATTTGACAGTCAAAAGAATTTGTGACACCAGGTGGTCTGCTCATGCAGATGCTGTTTTGGCTTTGAAAATGAGCTATGATGATATAAAGAAAACCTTATTAGACATAGCCACATCAAATTCTGAAAAATAACTGAAGTAAAATTTTTAACAGAAAAGTTTGAAAAGTACAATATTGCTGTTTTTACGCTTTTGTGGAACTGTTTATTTCAAAGAATTAATGCCATCAGCAAATTGCTGCAAAAGGTTGATACAAATTTATTGAATGCTGTACAATTGTTAGCCTCAGTTAAAAGTTTTGTCATGGACGTTCAAAATGGCTATAGCTTGGTGGAAGCAGAGGCACTAACATTAACAGAAAATATAGGTTCCTCTGATATATCTGATGAGAAGCATAAAAAAAGCAGGAAGTTATTTTTTGATTAAACTAGAGAGAAATCAATTTAAAAGGGAAAGAGAAGATCATCGTTGAGATTGTCAGTGTTGTTTGTGGCATAATAATAGTGCAATTGCAGAGTAGAGGTAAATCTCTAAAGAAAACTGTGATTTATTTTGTGTGTTTTTTGACAGAAGTATGGACAAAAATGCTAAAAGCCACTACAGTAAGAAATTAAGTAAATTCTACTTAGAGGACATAGAGACAAATCTTTTTGAAGATGAAGCGAAACATTTCATTCATTTTATTGAAAATGATGAGGTTTGTGCTTCAAGATCACCAATTGATTTGTATAGACTTGTGTCAAGGCTGCTTCCCCACTCTGAACTTTAGGGTACAAATGTGGGGGCTTGCATGAAAACTTCTAAGCTTAACTACCAGCTTAGATCTGGTCCGCTGCCACCATTCCCAAAGCTAATTCCCTTCCCTGGGAAGCCTTGAGAAACTCTTCACCAATTCCCTGGTGAATACAGATCCAAACCCCTTGGATCTTAAAACAAGGAGAAATTAACCATCCCCCCTCCTTCCTCCCACCAACTCCTGGTGGATCAAGATCCAACCCCCTTGGATCTAAAAACAAGGAAAAATCAATCAGGTTCTTAAAAAGAAGGCTTTTAATTAAAGAAAAAGGTAAAAATCATCTCTGTAAAATCAGGATGGAAAATAACTTTACCGGGTAATCAAACTTAAAGAGCTCAGAGGACCTCCCTATAGCCTTAGGTTCAAAGTACAGCAAACAGAGATAAACACTCTAGTAAAAGGTACATTTACAAGTTGAGAAAACAAAGGTAAACTAACACGCCTTGCCTGGCTGTTTACTTACAAGTTTGAAATATGAGAGACTTGTTCAGAAAGATGTGGAGAGCCTGGATTGATGTCTGGTCCCTCTTAGTCCCAAGAGCGAACAACCCCCAAAACAAAGAGCACAAACAAAAGCCTTCCCCCCCCAAGATTTGAAAGTATCTTGTCCCCTTATTGGTCCTTTGGGTCAGGTGTCAGCCAGGTTACCTGAGCTTCTTAACCCTTTACAGGTAAAAGGATTTTGGAGTCTCTGGCCAGGAGGGATTTTATAGTACTGTACACAGGAGAGCTGTTACCCTTCGATTTGTATAGACTTGTATGCGATGTTTTGCAGGCAACCTTTCCAAATGTAGAAACCATTCTGAAAATATTTTTAACAATACCTGTCACAAATGCTTCTGGTGTACATTCTTTTTCTGTATTGAAACGAGTTAAAAATTATTTGCGAAATACGATGAGTCAGGAACATTTGACAAGTTTGGCAATATTGACAATTGAAAGTGCCTCTTTACAAAATATTACTTATGATGATTTAATTGACGATTTTGTAAAGAAAAAGTGTAGAAAAAAGCTATCTGAATATTTTTTTTTTCCAAATTGAATAAGTTTCTTCAGAGGAAGTTAACTTTTATTTTTCCATTCATGCATCATCTATACTTTTTATTTTTACACATTTTTCATGTTTGCGTAATGCAAATACAAACTTTCATCTAGACCAGAAGTTCTCAAACTGTGGTCTGAGAACTCCATTCAGGTGGACCAAGGAAAGGTTATTAAGTTTTTGGGTTTTTTTATAAAGCGTTTTTACCCAAAGCACTTTATAATAGTTAGCTAATGGTACAAACAACATTTGGAAAGATCATTAAGTGGTCCGCCGAGACCCTCAGCAACTTTCAAGTGGTCTCTGGGGAAAAAAAGTTAGACTCCAAAACAATCAAGGTATCACACTTTATTTTCATTTACTTCCTATTACTTATAATATAGGAGGAGGATGAAGAACAAAAGAATGAAAAATGGGAGGAGATAAGGGAGAATGTTCTTTTTCTTGGTTGGGTTCTGGGAGGGGGAGGGGGTGCAAAAATGAAGCTCCGCATAGGGCCCCACTAACTCTAAATCCACCACTGGTCCTCAGTCACCTTCTGGACAACTACTAAAGGTCACTTCCTCCATTTCTGAAACAAAAAATTGTCCCCCATACATTCCAAGAATTGATTGAAAAACTTGTGTTTTGCCGATTACTTTTCCAACAGATGTTTGGGTAGTTAAAGTCTCCCATTACTGCCAGGTCTTATGCCAGTGCTCTGTCTACACTAATACTCGCACCATTGGTATCACTTGTGGAGCTGCAATGGTGGAAAAGTCTTGTGTAAACTCAGCTGTTTGTATTAAAGACACACTATTGAATATACTGTATTTGGTACAAATTAGTCTTTAGCCTTTAACATGAATATTGGTTTTCTCAGAGAATTCTCACTAAGAAGTTGGGCCTTATTTTTTATCTGTACTGTGTAAAACATTTTTGGCTTCAGAATAGGGTATTTAGTGAGTGATTTTAAGACTTCTTGTGGCTTAATGTTTTGCCAGATTCTTAATATTATGTTATTGAAGTTAATATACTACTTTTAAAAACATGAATGTTCTCAAATTCTTCTGGACTGCGGGTGCAGAGTAGGGAACACTGTTATGTCTAGATTAAATAACTATCTCAGAAGGAAAGCATCAATGACCTTAGCCCTAGTAAGAAAACAAATGAGTTGCCAGAAAGAAACGGATTTGTCTGTCCTTGCATATCAACAAATTTCCAGTCATGGTTTTTCCCCTGTAAGATGTTAATGAAAGCTGCAAACCCAGCTAAATGTGAAGATAAAATCGGTTTTTAAAGTAGCTGTTGAAAATGCTTAGCAAATGAAGTGCGGGATTTTATTGTTTGCATTTTTGCTTATTTACAAGAATGTCCAGTTATAAAATGCTAAGTAATCTGGTAATATATGAACTGTGATAATCTTCCAAAGTTTTCCAATCTGACGTGATTAATCTGAACTTCAGCACACTATTCAGAAAACATAATAGTTTATGTTCCTCTTGCAGTTTTTGCATGACCTTAGATTTAAAATCATAAACTATTTTTTCATTAGAAGGCATTGGATGTGGGTAGATATACACCTCTACCCCGCTATAACGCTAACCGATATAACACGAATTCGGATATAACGCGGTAAAGCAGCAGCTCCGGGGGGGGGGGGGGGAGGGAAGAAACTGTGCACTCTGGCGGATCAAAGCAAGTTCAATATAACGCAGTTTCACCTATAACACAGTAAGATTTTTTTGGCTCCCGAGGACAGCATTATATCGAGGTAGAGGTGTATTAGCAATTTGAGACAAATTTCTGTAGCCTAACAGATGCGGGGAAACATGAATCTTGTTGTAAAATACGAAGTTGCCCTTTTTATTTTTGTAAAAGACAACCAGATACTGTGCTGTGAGTTTGTGTGTGACAATGTACTTTCCACCTGGTACAGAAGCTCTGAGTAATGTGAGCTACTTGTCTTTTTTCCCTGTGGATTAGTGATGTACTTAATTTTCTTTCTTTTCTTTATTAAGCCAAGGACCCCTGTCATCCATTAGAGCAGCAATCAAGAGAAGTAAGTCTATTTTTCTTCTACTCTTGGGTATCTTAATTTCAAATTGCTGCATCTTCATTTCCAGCAAGTGGCTACTTTTTATGAGAAGATGAAATGACTAAACAAAGGTAAGTTTATAGAATCATTAATCATCTGACAGACTGTAACCGTTTTTTTGCTTTGCCTCATTTTAGACCAGGGGTGGGCAAACTTTTTGGCCCAAGGGCCACATCGGGGAATAGAAATTATATGGCGGGCCATGAATGCTCACAAAATTGGGGTTGGGGGTTCGGGCTATGGGGTGGGGCTGGGGATGAGGAGTTTGGGGTGTAGGAGGGTACTCTGGGCTGGGACCGAGGGGTTCAGAGGGCGGGAGGGGGATCAGAGCTGGGGCAGGAGGTTGGGGGTGGGGAGAGGCTCAGGGGGTGCGGGGTCTGAGCGGCGCTTACCTCAAGCAGCTCCCAGAAGCAGTGGCATGTCCCTTCTCTGGCTCCTATGCAGAGGCACGGCCAGGTGGATCTGCACGCTGCCCCATCCGCAGGCACCACCCCTGCAGCTCCCATCGGAGTGGGGCCAAAACGCGTGGTGCGGCCCCGACCCAGTGCCCCGACTGGGGCGCCGGAGTGGGGCCGAGACGCTGGTGCGTCCCTGACCCAGCGCCCCGGCCGGAGTGGGGCCGAGATGCTGGTGCGTCCCTGACCCAGCGCCCCGGCCGGAGTGGGGCCGAGACAAATGGTGCAGCTCCTGACCCTGTGCCCCGGCCGGAATGGGGCCGAGACAAGTGGTGCAG